AAAAAAAAAAAAAAAGAAATAAAGTTGACTTTTAAAAGATCCTTCGTAGGAAATAGAAGAAAATTACATATCCATCGTAGGAAATAGAAGAAAATTACATAAAGCTTTGCTAGTATTCTCAATGATATTTAAGAAAACAGAAACCCATGAAAGGACAGGTAAAGAGTGAGGTGAGGAGAGAACTGATTGCAGTTACAAAAACTGAAGTCAGCATCAAATTTGGTATCAACATTAAAAACAGTAAGAGGTGGATTTGATCAATAATATGGAAAATACATTTTATAATCTATAGAATAAGGGGATATAAATAATAGAAGATTGGGTAATGGTTATGGGGGAAAATAACTGAAATGCAAAATGTGGGTACCTGATGTTGTGTAAGAGGAGACACAACAAAACTAAGTGAAGAGGTGATAAAAGAAAACCCCCCTCAACTGAGAAAAAAAAGATACATATGTCAAATGGAAAGGATGAGATAAGAACTGGGAAACTAAAAGAGACTAACATTTAGACCCATTTTTGTAAATTTTGTTTTTAAAATTTGATGATAAAGAGAATTCTATAAATATTCAAAGGGATCTTTGTGGAGTGGAAGATTCAATGTTTTAGCAATGAGGATTCTTATTAAATGCACTTACTAATTTAACATGACTCCAGTCAAAATGTAAAGGTGGTTTTGCTTGTCTCTTCCTAATTAATCACAAATTACAAATACTAACATGAGCCAAAAAAGTTTGAATAATGAGTGTAATGCTTATAACTTTAGCTATGAAACAGTAAAGCATATTCTGAAATAATAATAGTTAGGAATGATACTGGCAGAAGAATGTAAATGCAGTTTAATAAAATAGATGGAAAACTCCAAAACAGAATTTTATAGATAATAAGAATAGCATTTCAAATGATGACACTAGAATAAATGATTGATAAGTAAAAAAAGTTTGATATTTTTGTATCATATATCGATTAGTTCCACATATAGGAAAGTATTAAATGGGAACTAGTAAACAAACAAACAGAAGAAAAACTAGGCAACTGTTTATATTTGTAGAATAATGAAAGGCAAGACAGAAAACTGAAAGGAAATGTTAATGTTTGCCTACAGAAAAATTTGAAAAATAAAATCTGTATGTCACAGACCTCATTAACAAAAGTAAAATAAACTGGGAAATTTCTGTAATGTATATGATATAGAATGACTTGAAAGTACATATAAATAATATTTGCAAAAATATTAAAAAATGCATTTTAGTTGAAACATGGAGAGAAATCTTCATTGATTGCAATTTCATTTCGTAAAATGTAATTTATCTTCAGAGTTATTTGACCCCAAATAAATTTAACCTTTTTCTTCAGGGACCTAGTACGTAAGGAAGGAATTTTTAGTTTTTTCCAGGATGCATGTTCTGGATGACGCACGATTTAAGGGAAAAGTATTGTGTACCAAGGACTGATGACTTTGAATATTTGCGCATTAAAGAGATATCCGTGAATTTTATTAGTGAACTGCTTTCTAGATGAACAATAGTGGATGAAATTTCTTCAGCATCTGCTACATTCCAAATGTGATTTCTGAAATCCTTGCAACAATCCTATGAGATATTTTCTTTGTTTTATTAGTAAGGAAACAGAAGCTCAGAGGTGGTAAATAACATATCTTAGATTTCTCAACTAAGAAGTATCTTCGCAATGATTTGAAGCCAAATCATTCTTGGGGTTTTTAAGGTTTTTTTTTCTCTATTTTTCTTGTTTTTAGTTTGTACTGTTTTTATAATTACAAACATTTTTGTTCACTAATTAGTATAGTCAATTTTTCCCGTTGTGGAACATTTGGAAACTTTAATTCATGTGTAGTCCTACGTCTAAGAGAAAACTGTTAATATTTTGTCCCACTTACTTATAAGCACATATGTCATGGTTGAATCATACATTTGATTATTTACATTATTTTATAAGCAGAGTTTCTGTCTATAATTACACAGCTTATTCACTACAATAGCTTCAAGGTTCACTGTTCACATAGATAACAATATGAGTTCAATGTACCTGGACTTGTGCCACATCATGGACTGGGCTATAAGCAATTTTTTCTTTCTAACTGTAAGTTAATGACTGTATTGTATTTCACCTTAATTTATTTATATATTTTTTGGAATATTCAACTTAGTTACTCCTTTATTGTTGGATCCTTCATTATTTCTTCAATATTTTGTTACCATAAACGGGGAATATCTATGTATGGATAACTATTGGGATTTCAAACAGTTTTTTTGTTAGGTATTCATAAAAGGGACATCAGGGAGGAGGAACATTTTCAAATTTTCCACCTCACCTTATGATATTCACACCTTGATACAGGATGTTGATGAGCCTCCAGGCAGTCATTGCTCTCTAGTTGCATTTCTCTTCTTAAGTCACTTACTGTAGGGGGAAAAGAAAGGGAAATGGTGAACAACTGTGTCCACCATTATCTTTATCTCACTGTCTTCTTAATCATATTTTACGTAGAAATATGCTGTACACAAATCATTTATAGGTTAAGTAAGAAATAGGTGAAGTCGTTGGGATATGCTCTGGAGCAAAAATGAGCAAGTATGTAATTTTGATTTTTATGTGAAATCTGAACAGTGGATAAACTAAACTATGAAAATTTACTAAACTTGTAAAATGTAGATGCAATTGTTTCTACTCACAGGAAAACAAAACAAAACAAAACAAACCTAAAATATATTTTGTGGGTGTTTAGCAAAACTCTTAACATTCCCTGCTGGTTGCAGATGCTAACAGATGCTTGGATAAATGTATGCTCTAAGTTTAATTACCTAGATAATTGCCCTAACCATCTAATTGCTTTTCCTTTTTAGATGTGTTCATACAGATAATGTGCAATTAATAAGAATTAGCACTGCCAAATTATTGGGAATATGAGTTATAAAAATGTGACGCTTTATGGTCCCAGATTAAACTGTTCATGTGCTTAACAAGTAATTATCTCTGTGTAACAAACTGTGAAAAAGACCATAACAGAGCTCTCTTTCTGGGCACTTCCAGTAGAGTAGAACTTTAGGAATTAGGGGTTGAGAGGAATATGCATGAGGGAGGTGACCTGGGATGACTTCTGAAAAAAAGGTAGATTAAAGCTATTTTTAAAAACTTTACTTAACATAAAATTTACTCAAAATTTTGGTGTATAGTTTTCTGAATTTTGATAAATAGCCATGTAACCACCACCACAATCAAGATAGAGAACATTTTTATAAATTCAAAAACTTCCTGGTGCTGCTCCTTTGTTTTTAACCATGCTTCCCACTCCCACCTGCTGGCAACCACTGTGCCTGAGTTTTGCCATTTCCAAACATTATATAAATAGAATTATATAGTATGTGGCCTTGTGACTATAGCTTCTTTCACTTAGCCTCATACATTTAAAATTCATCCATGTTGTTGTTTATGTCAATGGAATGTTACTGATGAATAGTATTCCATTGTATGGATATACCACAGTTCGTTTATCCATTCACTAGCTGGAGGCTGTACGTTTTTTTGCAGTTTTGATCTGTGAACAAAGCTGCTATAAATATTTGCATACAGGTTTTTATATGAACATATGTCTTCATTTCTCTTGGATAAATTCATAGAAGTGGGATTGCTGGGTCATATGGTAAATGGTGTTTAACTTTATCAGAAACTGCCAGACTGTTTTCCAAAGTGACTATACATTTTGCATTCCTACCAGCAATATATGAGTGTTCTATTGCTCCCCTGAACCCGAAGTGCACCTGTATCAGTTTTTTTGTAGTTTGGTTTTCATGTAGAGGCATCTCAATGTGTTTTTAATTTGAATTACTCAAATAACATTGATGATCTCTGCCATTTAATTGAGGGTCTTTACATCTTTTAATTAAATGTGATTATTGATATTGTTGGATTTAATTCTCTTTTTTTGACTGTACATCCTTTTCCATCCTTTTCTTTTAAAAAAATTTTTTAATTGACATAATAATTGTACATAGTTATGGAGTACAGGGTAATATTTTGATACATGTATACATTGTGTGATGATCAAATCAGGCTAATTAGCATATCCACTACAAACATTGATTATTTCTTTGTGATGAGAACATTTGAACTTCTCTCTTTTGGCCATTTGAAAATATAGAATAAATTAGTATTAATTATAGACACCAAACACTGCTATAGAATATTGGAACTTATTCTTCTGATCTAGCTATAATTCTGTATTTGTTAACCAACCTTTCCCTATCCTGCCTTCCTCTTCCCTGGACTGGGTTTAATTATACCGTGTTGCTGTTTTGTTTCCTGTTTGTGTGGTCTTTGTTTCCTTTTTCCTCATTTTCTGCCTTGTTTTGAATAAATTGAGTACTTTATGATTCCGTGTTATCTTCTTTGTGGGTTTTAGCTATAGCTCTTTAGTACTTTTAAGAATCATTTTGGCAAAATGCGTTTGTGTGATTCATCCCAACTCTTCCATGGTGTGGTTATGATGATGGAAGAAGTGACCTGATCATTAAGAGTTCATTGAGTTCAGGTTTCAGCTATTTCAGTATCTAACTATATCTCCCATACAATGAATGCAAGTGTTTCAATGAAGCAGTAAGGACAGAGAAAGTTGAAACAGGTAATTTTTTCTTTCTCATAAGCATTTTGTCTCCTTCATCCCTAGACAACTAAGTGAGATGGAGTGGAAGCCATCCTAAAGTTTGTTCCAACTCCTTGCATTTGGAGAACAAGTTACTTAATGTCATAGAATATCCTCATTTGTATCTGAGAAGGAAATAAACTTTGCTCTTTTACTAATAGTTGTTTTTCTCTCTCTTTTTGTCTTTCACAGACCACCTCTTTGCAGGTATAACTTTGTAGTTAAAGAAAAGGAGGAAGTATTTCTTAATCCAGGCACATGTATGCCAAAGAAAATATAAAACATCTTCTGTCGAATGTAATAGCTGGTTTGTGAATTACCAAACTTATGAATTCGGACTAGTGCAAGCAGTCTTTCTTTTAGATGCATTTTTCAATGTGAGATTCAGATATTTCTATTTTGTGAATAAATTTTAAAGAATCAAAAATATAAAAAAATAAAAAAGTATATGTAAAGCATTCTAAATAATTCTAAAAGCTGTTTATTTCTTTTTTATTTATCTGTTTCCTCAAATATATATTATTGCATGTTGACCTTAATTACTTATTATTAATTACTTATTAGTAATAAGTTATTACTAATAATAAATTATTATTAATAATAAATATGTCTTTAGAAAAATAAGGAAACTTAGTGCTTCAATACGCTGTCTAAACGGTGCCATTCTAAATCCCTCAAACTGCAGAAGTAAAAAAATTAAACAAATTTTTCTTATTTGTAAATTTTTCATTTGGAGAAGTCACTTGTATTAATGTGAACTCAGTAAACATAAATTCACCTTCCATTTAATTATCTGCTTGGCACTTCTTTTTTGTAATGCTTTGTAAATAAAGACTTTGTTTCTATGGAACACAATAAATAACGTATGGGTCTGTAATGCTTAAGGCGAATTTTGATTCCATCACTTACTAATGGTATGATCTTGAGTAGATTAATCTACCTCACTGTGTCTCAGTTGCCTGAAGAATTTTTGTGAAAATTGATTTGATAAAGTACTTTGCATACTATCCATAGTGATGATAATAAAAAATATATTAGAATCTTTACAAAAACCCTATGAAGTTGGTCTTAACTCCACTGATTAAGAAACCAAGGGACAGAGAAGTTAACTAACTTACCCGAGATCACATGCAGAACCATAATTCAAACCTAAGAAGTCTGGGTCCATGCTCTTAACCTCTGTTATGTGCATCTCCAAAGTTCAATGTGTGTTAGCTGTTAGTACCTGGATTTACAAATGATTGCATTCAAAATAATAATTGGAATGTTCTTGGCATTCTCCAATATATCTCTTCAATTCATGAATTCCTAGGCCTGAGCTCCCTCTCAGTTATGTCTAAATAGCTGCAAGGTTTGTTTTATGTGTGTCTTTAAACCAGTCTTTCAACTACAGTCACAGTCTCTGTGCTTATGATTGTTGTGCTCTATATTTGTTTGCTTGGGCCACCACAACAAAATATCATAGAATGGGTGGCTTAAGCAACAGAAATTTATTTCTTATATTTCCGAGGGCCAGAAGTCCAAGATCAAGGTATCTGTGGGCTTGGTTTCTTAAGAGGCCTCTCTCCTTGGCTTGCAGATGGCTGCCTTCTTGCTGGGTCTACCAGGGTTTTTGCTCTGTGCATGCACATCCCTGGTGTCTCTTTGTGTGTCTAATTTTTCTCTTCTCCTAAGGATACCAGTCGGATTGGATTAGATCCTCCCCAATGGCCTCATTTTAAGTTAATTGCCTCCTTAAAGGACCTGTTTCCAAACATAGTCACACTCTGAGGTACTAGAGGTTAGGATTCCAACATATAAATTATTGGGGTGGAGGGGAGTGTGACACAGTTCAGCTCATGACACCTGCCATGACTCATTAGCCTATTATGATGTGTTTGCCTAATAATCCACTCAAAGGTGAAATGTGGCTATTGTCAGTGCTCACCCATCAAACACTGTTGTGTGAAGGCCCTTGCAGTGTTAGACATATGTTCCAGGCAGAAACAAGAAGACTTCACTTTGTCCCGAGAGATTTGAACAGTGCTGCCTATATCTCTACTGTCCGACAGCCCTTCATGAAAACAGCTCCTTCAGTTTCTGCTGCAGCCCTTCAACTCTAGTCCACAGAGATATCTTCTCTCTCCTCCCTGCTACTTAGATATCTGCTCACAAGCTTCCCATTTCCTTAAACAAAAACATAAACCCTCATGTAATTTAACTTTTCGAATTAGCGCCCCCCCCCCATTAATTTTCCAGATAAACCCAGAAGCTTTTGAATCTCAGCTTGAGACATTAATGAAATTTAAAATGAAATAAAATGCACTGTAGATATGTTTCCAGGAGGAGAAATCTTGTTCCAGTATTCCTGATTGCTTAGGGCCTCTGGGTAACAGAGAAAACAGTAGCCAACTTGTCTTATGGTATATTGGAGCACATTACCCTCATAATACAACTTTCTTGCCATGGGTGATACAGTCTTCCAAGCATAACTCAAAGATATAAACTTACAAAATAATTATGGGTTTCCATATTGCAGTACCTTCTCCAGTATCCAAATTCTTTTCACTTTTTTCAAGGTAAAGGTTAACATGTAAAGGAAGCCTCTGAAATGTGTCTCGATAGTGGTGAGGGAAGTAAACTCCTCTGACCCTCCAGTTCATAGCCTTCAATTGTATTTTTAATACTGTTTTTTTCCCCCAAATTTCTGGAAACTGTAGATCAAAAATAGAAGTAAGGAGGGGAAAAATACACTTTTTGGAGGACCGTAATGAGGCACAGGTATTCTGTAACAATTATCTGGGACAACAGAAAGAATAAGTAGCCATTATGTACAAAATATGCCACTTGAGGCTGCCTTGAAGCCATGATGTTCTGCATCAGATACAGAAAGAGGCAGAGAGACTAGTTATTTAAATTCTGTATCCTTCAGGATGCCTCCTTGACATAAATGGCAGAATCTGACTGAACATTGCCTCTCGGAGCCTCCTCAACAAGACAGTTTGATTATTTTCAAGTTAATTTTTAACCTAAAAATGGATTTATCTAATTATTTAACGTTATCAGTTTTATTGATGTGTCTTCTTTGGGTTTTCACTGAATTATAATTTTTATATTATAAAAATAAATCACCAACAAAGTAACAAATCATACCTTTAATTTGTCACAGAGGTCAACTGACATAATTGTGAGTGGAAACAATCAAAAGCCAACTAGATTCTTTTTTTAAAACAAACTACACTTAAAAAATATAAGTTGCTTCCAATACTATGTTAAATAGGAGGGGTGAGAGTGGGCATCCTTGTTTTTTTCCTGTTCTTAAAAATAAAACTTCCAGCTTTTCCCCATTTAGGATAATGTTAACATAGTATTGGAAATACCAGCCAGAACAATTAGGCAAGTGAAAGAAATAAAGGGCATCTAAATTGGAAAAAACAAAGTCTAATTGTCCATGTTTGCAGATGACATGATCCTACATATAGAAAAAACCTAAATAATCTGCAAAATAATTCTTAGAGCTGATAAGCAATTTCAGCAAAATTGCAGGATACAAAATCAACATGCAAAAATTGGTAGCATTTTTATACACCATCAACAAAATAGCAAGAAAAGAAATTGAGAAAGCAAGCCCATTTACAACAGCTACAAAAAAGAAGAAAAAGAAAACCTAGGGATAAATTTAACCAAGGAGGTAAAAGATCTCTAAAATGAAAACTACAAAACACTGATGAGAGAAATTAAAGAGGATATAAAGGGATGTTCATAGATTGGAAGAATTAAAACTTAAAATGTCCACACTACCTAAAGCCATCTATGCATTCAATCCAATCCCCATCAAAATACCAATAACATTATTCACAGAAATAGAAAAAACAATTATAAAGTTCATGTGGAAAAACAAAAGATTCTGAATAGCCAAAGCAATCCCTAGCAAAAATAAATAGATAAATAAAGCTGAAGGCATTACACTACCTCACTTCAAATTATACTGCAAAGCTATAGGAACCAAAACAGCATGGTTCCTGCATAAAAAGAAACACATGGATTAATGCAACAGAATAGAGAACCCAGAAATTAATTCACATACTTACAGCCAACTGATCTTTGACAAAGGCACCAAAAACATACTTTGGTGAAAGGACAGTGTCTTCAATAAATGGTGCTGGGGATACTGGATATCTATGTGAAGAAGAATGAAACTAGACCCTTACATCTTGCCATATACCAAAATCAACTCAAAATGGATTTAAAGACTTAAATATAAGACCTGAAACTATGAAACTTCTAGAAGAAAACACAGGGAAAAAAATTTGGGATGTAGGACTGGGCAATTACTTTATAAGTAAGACCTCGAAAAAGGCAACAAAAGAAAAACTAAACAAATGGGATTATATCAAACTAAAATCTGCACAGCAAAGGAAACAATCAACAAAGTGAAAGACAACTTACTGAATGGAAGAAAATATTTGCAGGCTTTGCATCCAACAAGGGATAAATATCCAGAATTCACCCAAAACTCAAACAACTCAATAGTCCAAAAATAATCTGATTTAAAAACAGGCAAAGAACTGAACAGACTTTTCCTTAAAAGAAGACATACAAAAGGCCAACAGGTACATGAAAAGATGCTCAACATCCCTAATCATCAGGGAAATGCAAATTGAAATTACATTGAAATATCATCTCACCCTAGTTAAATGGACTGGTGTCAAAAAGACAGAAAATAACAAATGCTGGTGAGGATGTAGAGAAAGGAGAACACTTCTATTGCTGCTGTTGGGATTGTAAATTAGTGCAGCCATTATAGAAAACAGTATGGAGGTTTCTCAAACAACTACAGATAGAACTGCCATATGATCCAGCAATCCCTCCACTGGGTATATATTCTAAGGAATGGAAATCATCGTGTTGAACACTACCATGTTCATTGCAGATCTATTTGCAATAGCCCATATATGGAACCAATCTAAATGTCCATCGATGTACAATTGGATAAAGAAAATGCAGTATATGTACACAATGGAATATTACTCAGCTATGAAAAGAATGAAATTCTGACATTCGCAGCAGCATGGATGAACTTGGAGGAAATTATAAGCCAGGCACAGAAAGAGAAAAACTGCATGTCCCCACTCATATGTGGGAGTTAATAAATAAATAAATAAGAAGTAAATAATAAACATAATAATAAGTTGAATTTTCAAAAGGAGAGAAAAGAACTGTGGTTATTAGAGGCAGGAAGTGGGAGGGAAGGTAGTGAGAAAATGATTAATGGACACAAAACTGCTAGATTACAAAAATAAGTGCTGTTGATGTACAGTCAAGCTAAGCATCTATAATTAATATTAATTTACTGCATGTTATCCAATGGCTAGAAGAGATTG